ATTCCACCGAGGCTGGCGAAGGGCCCCCAGACTCTGAGAGCGGGTCCCGGTCCCCTAGGAAGCCCCTCCTCCAACCGTGATGGTCATTTGGGGTCACCGATGCTTTTGTTTCGTTTCGTTTTGTTTCTCTTTTTGGGCAGGAGCAATAATAGCACAGCAGGTAGGATGTTTGCCTGGCACGCGGCCGACCCTGGTTCGATTCCTCTGTCCCTCTCGGAGAGCCCGGCAAGCTACCGAGAGTATCCCGCCCGCATGGCAGAGCCTGGCAAGCTCGAAGTGGCGTCTTCGAGATGCCAAACACAGTAACAACAAGTCTCAAAATGGAGACGCTACTGGGCCCGCTAGAGCAAACCGATGAATAACGGGAGAACCGTGACCGTGACCGTGACCCGGCGATGCTCAGGGCTGACTCCTGGCTCTGCACTCAGCAATCATGCCGGCGGTGCTTGGGGGACCCTATGGGATGCCAGGGATCGAACCCGGGTCAATCCCCGAAGGCAAATGCCCTCCCCTCTGTGCTATTGCTCTGCCCGGGGTTATCAATGCTTATGGGTGGTATTTGGCTTTTTTCCCCTCCTGGTTCTTAAGTCTTATTCCTGTTGTTTTTTTTTTTTGTTTGTTTGTTCGTTTCCTGGGCAGGTAGGGTGTTTGCCTTGTACACGGCCCACACGGCTGACCTGAGTTCGATTCCTCTGTCCCTCTCGGAGAGCCCACAAGCTACCCAGAGTATCTTGCCCGCACGGCGAATAGCGGTGATGTATTCAATACGCCAAACACAGTCGCAAACCTCACAATGTTACTGGACCCACTCAAGCAAAATCAATACATCAACGAACAACAGGAGGACAGTGATAGTGACAGTTTGTTTCCTACAGGAGAAAATGGCGCCCAAAATTCTTTTTGTTTGGGTGGGGGGGGGGGACTACCAGTGCTGAGGACTCAACACAGGGCCCTAAGCACTGCCCCTCGCCAAGCACTGCCCCTCGCCTGCCATCAGCCCCAATGAGAGTCATTTTATGTCGTCCAGTAATTGCTATCTCCTCTCTGCGCCTTGTGGCCTGGTTCCAGCCTCTCTCCTCAGGTGAAAATTCCTCAGACCCACCTAGACGCTTGCCCACCTGCTTTGATCAATGGTGGGGTATTCAAAGAAAAATCGAACACCACATTGTTTTTTTTTTCCTGCTTTTTGGGTCACATCTGGTGATGCTCAGGGGGTTCCTCCTGGCTCTGCACTCAGGCATCACTCCTGGCGGTGCTCGGGGGACCCTATGGGATGCCGGGGATCGAACCCAGGTTTGCTGCGTGCATGGCCAACGCCCTCCCCTGGAACACCACACTCGAAGCGTTTTCCTCTCTCTGGTAATCGTCCCATAGGTTAATTCCCCCCCCCCCCCCCCCCCGTCAGGTCAGAGGGATGGGCTAACAATGGGAGTAGTTCTCACTGGGTCTCCATCAACCTCTATGACTGAATGAAGGGACGGACAGACAGACACATGGCTGGACCCTGTGGGTTGTATGTGTTTGCTGCATTCGCAGGGCACGTTCCAACACGGCCCCCAGAGGCCTGGCACACATCCATCCCAAGTTCATTCATCCCTGGCATCCCATAGGGTCCCCCGAGCACTGCCAGGAGCGATTCCTGAGTGCAGAGCTGGGAGTCAGCCCTGAGCATCACCGGGTGTGACCCAAAAAAGAAAAAAACAAGAGCTAGGCCAGGCGCGTGGGCCGAATCTCCTCACTGAGCAGAGGTGAGGTGTCGGTGGGGCCCGAGACTGGTGCTCGCAGCCACGCCCAAGCTTGTCTCTGGTTTCTACCCACCTTCCTTTCTCTTGTGCCAGGAATGCCTGCCGGGAGAGGACGTCTGTGGCCACATCCCCGTCTGAGTCAGTGAAGGAAACACGCATCCAGGCCAGTCACGGGGCGGGCCCTGGGGGCAGGAGAATTCACCCCAGGAAGCTTTCCCCAAAACACCTTCGCATCCCAGTCCAGCAAGCACCTCGACTCCCAGGAACCCCCGACCCCCAGGAACCCCTCGAAAAAGAGGCAACAAACCCATCCCCCAGGAGGCCCCCAAAAGAGGCAAAATGATCTCTGGGGGTCTCCCCTGGCCGAGAAGCAGACTCCAGGGGCTCCCACACCCATGCAAGCCCCAGCCCAGGCCTCCACCCTCATCTCCTCACCCCGCCCCTCGGGCCAGGTCGAGCTCCAGAATCCGCGTGGAGGTCAGAGAAGGAGCCGAGAGTGGGAAGATGGGGGCTGGAGCGATAGCACAGCGGGGAGGGCATTGGTCTTGCACGTGGCTGACCCGGGTTCGATTCCCAGCATCCCCTAGGGTCCCCCAAGCACCACCAGGAGGGATTCCTGAGTGCAGAGCCAGGAGTCAGCCCTCAGCATCGCCGGGTGGGACCCAAAAAAGCAAAAATAAATAAATAAAAAAGAAAGAAAAGGGTCTGGAGTCATAGCACAGCGGGGAGGGAGTTTGCCTTGCACGCGGCCGACCCGGGTTCGATTCCCAGCATCCCATAGGGTACCCCGGGCACCACCAGGAGTGATTCCTGAGTGCAGAGCCAGGAGTCAGCCCTGAGCATCGCCGGGTGGGACCCAAAAAGCAAAAAAAAAAAAAAAAAGTGAGAAGCTGCGTGCATGTCCATGCCTTACACTCGTGTGTCATGTGTGGGAACATGTTTTGTGTACAGGTTTTGTGTGTGCATACGTATCTGTCTTATGTGGACGTGTGTGTTCCATGCGTATACATGTGTGTGGACGTGTACTGTGCATGTCTGGACATGTGCATCTACGTCTGCATTATGTGTTTGCACATGTGTGTTTGAGCGTGTGAACATGCATTTTGTGCACATGAGTGTTACGCATATGATCTGGATGTGTGTGTGTGTGTGTGTGGTGTGTGTGTGTGGACATGCACTCTGTGCGTGTGTACGTGTGGTTGCTATGTGCATGTGCCTATGTGAGGTGACCTGGGGAGTGCAGATAGGCAGGTGCAGCCTTACAGGAAACACCCAAGAGCTCCCCAAACTCCCCTCCTGCCAATCAGGGTGCTCCCCGCACCCCTGCTCTGCCCTCTGCTCCCCACACCCCTGCTCTCTCTGTTCCCCACACCCCTGTTCTCCCTGCTCCCCGCGCCCCTGTTCTCTCTGTTCCCTGCACCCCTGCTCCCCACACTCCTGCTTTCTCTGCTCCCTGCACCCCTGCTCTCCCAGCTCCCCGCACCCCTGCTTGATCGGATGAGGGTGCAGACACTGCTCCTAGTCTCAGGGGTGCCAAACCACAGTTGGGGGAGGCATCTCTGGCCCCTCCATCTTCCCTCAGTCCCCGCACTTGGGCCTGGGAGGGACCAGCCGGACAGAGACGCCTGTGGGCCCAATCCGTGCTGAAGGCCTGAGCTGCCCCAGCTGCCTAGGGCTGCCCGCCGCTGCCTTCCCCACAGTCAGCCTGAGCTCAGGCCGGAGGGACGGGACGGGCACGAGGCACTGGCCCTGCACACGGCCAGCCCCGGCGCCCCCCGCCCCTGTTCAAAGGCCGACGTGGCAGGCGGTTCCCCGAGCCCTGAGCCAGGAGTCAGGGAACCAAGGCCCCCTCCCCGCCCCAGTCCGCATCTCTGCCACCTGGATTTCAAGGCTCTCCTTCCAAGCAAGAAAGACTTTTGCCTTTGGCCCCCATCCTCCTTAACCGCCTGCGCCTTGCTGATGAAGTGAAGGCCGTGTGTGTGTGTGTGTGTGTGTGTGTGTGTATGTGTGTTGGGGAATCCACCAAGGCCCTCCCACACACCTGCACAGCGTCTGCCACTGACCTCGAACCTCTGCCCCTGGGTTTTTTCCACCTCCCCTGCACTGGGAGCAAAGAATCTTGGGGCCGGAGCGAGAGCACAGCGGGGAGGGCGTTTGCCTTGCACGCGGCTGACCCAGGGTTCGATTTCCGGCATCCCATAGGGCCCCCCTCCCCCCCCCCCCCCCCAGCACTCCGCCAGGAGGGATTCCTGAGTGCAGAGCCAGGAGCAAGCCCTGCTGGGTGTGGCCCCAGAACAAGAGAGAGACAGGGACAGAGAGAGACAGAGGGAGAGAGAAAGGGAGAGACAGAAACACAGAGAGACAGAGAGAAGGAGAGAAACAGAGGGAGAGAGACAGGGAGAGACAGAGACAGAGAAAGAGAGGGAAAAGAATGAGAGGGACAGAAGAAGAGAGGGAGAGAGAGGGAGAGAATGGAAGGGAGAGAGAGGGAGAGAATGGAAGGGAGAGAGAGACAGAGGGAGAGAGAGACAGAGAGAAACAGAGAGACAGAAAGACAGAGAGGAGAGAGAGACAGAGACAGAGGAAGAGAAGGAGAGAGAGGGAGAGAAAGAAGGAGAGAGAAAGAGAGACAGAGAGAGACAGAGAGAAACAGAGACAGAGAGACAGAGGGAGAGACAGAGAGGAAGAGAGGGAGAAAGAGAGAGGGACAGAGGAAGAGAGGAAGAGAGAGAGAGAGAGAGAGAGAGAGAGATTTTAATGCCCCATGCAGGGACCAAAACACCACCAGCAGGCAGGAGGGCAAGCCCCCAGCGCCCAGCCGCAAAGCCCGCCCTGGGGAGACTCCAACGTCACAGCTCTGTCATCAGGGCTGTCCCCTCACGCCCAGGCCCACCGCAACCCCTGCCCTGCCCTCAGGGCCGCTAACCCAGCTTCCAGCCCTGGGCTCTGGGGCATCGGCTGCAGGGGTGAAAATGGAGCAGGGAGAGAAAGAGCCAGGAACGGGCGTCCTGTCGACTTCACTGCACTTGGGGCAGGCGGCAGAGGCCGGTCCGGCCACCGCCTGGGGAACTGGCTGCGACCTGGGGCTGGAGGCGGGTCCCGGGATGGCCGGGGGCGGGCGTGGGGTGGGGACCCGCTGGCGGGGCGGGCGGTGTGTCTGGGGCGGGTGCTCCCTAGTGCCAAGCGCGGGCTCCGGGCTCCCTCCGGGCTCCGCGGGGGTGGGCACAGACCAGCTAGCCAGCCCGACCCAGCGGGAAGCACTGCACCGCACCACGTCTGACATCGGCACCCGGGCCTGGCCCGGGCGGGGCGGAACCACAGGTATGTGAGGCTGGCCGGTGGCCCCCCGCTGAGGGCCCGGCAGCCACTGGGACCAGGAGCAGAGCGCAGAGGGAGGTGAGTGGCGGGGTTTCCGTTCGTTCCCCGCCAAAGACAGTCTGGGGGCGGGGACCTGGGCAGGCAGGCGGCTGGAGGGGTCTCTGGTTCCAGGAAGGGGGACCCCCCTCCCCATCTGCCACCCGAACTGCCATCCACCCGCCAGCCCAGTGCAGGTGACTTGGAATTTGCCCGTTTACCTGGGGAAAGGGAAGGAACCGTCTCATCTCGGACCCCCTCCCAGGACCTGGGAAGTTTGTGGGTGAGGGTCTCAGACCCCCCCTTCCTGGGACCTGTGTGAATGAGGGTCTCGGACCCCCTCCCCCACTCCCGGGACCTGGGAAGTGTCTGCGAACGCAGGGGGCCCATCCCCAGCTGGGAGCCGCTTGGGGGTCCGCAGGGGGTGATGGAGACCCTTCCCTCCTTCCCCTCGCTCCCCCCGCCCCACCCCACCCCACCTGTGGCCCCAACCCCAACCCCCGTCCCGCCCTGCCGCCGAGACCAAGGTCGGCTGGCAATCACGCATCTGTTTGGAGGGCAGGGATGACCGTCTCGCTTAAGCAAAAGGGAAACTAAAACTCGGTCCCCGGCAGGCAGGCGGGCGGCCCCGATTTTGTGGAGGAAAAAGGGCCAGAAGCGACCTGGTCCCGGGTGGCCGGATCGGGTCAAGTGCCCTTGAAGCAGCCACCGGCCTGCCACACCCCACCCCTGCCCCCGTGAACGCTCCCATTTCCTGTGCTCGAGAAGGAAGCTGGGCGCCGCCTGTGATCCCCGCGGGCAGCCCCACAGTGCCAGGACTGAGCCTGCCCAGGTGACCAGCCCTTTCCCGCGGCCTCTGGTGTTGGCTGTGGCCGCATCTGCTCACCGCCTTCCCCTGAGAATCCCCGCCTCTCCTCATGCCCCCAAGTTTAGGGATTGCTCAGCGCCTACTAGGGAAACCTCCCTGCTTGGTCAGTTTTTAGCCTGTAGGGTCCAGCAGGGACCCTCCGCCCTGATCCCCAGACTCAGCTCAGAGAACGAAGATTCTCGGCTCTGTAGGGTGATTGAAAGGAACATCCCTCCCCCCCCCCACCCCAACACACACACACCCAGGGTAACATCTGCAGCGGGAGTGGGTGGGTGGCCCTGTGCGCCGGAGATAAGGGGACAGTTTTTGCGGGAGGAGCCGCACGCTGGTGAACGGGGCAGATACAGAAGCAAATTTGGGCTAAGAAAGTGTATTTCCAGGGGCTACAACGATAGCACAGTGGGGAGGGCGTTGGCCTGGCACGCGGCCGACCCGGGTTCGATTCCCAGCATCCCATAGGGTCCCCCGAGCACCGCCAGGCGTGATTCCTGAGTGCAGAGCCAGGAGGAATCCCTGTGCATCGCTGGGTGTAACCTCAAAAAGCAAAAAAAAAAAAAAAAGTGCATTTTGACAGAGCAGGGCTGCAGTCAGTCGCCAACGTAGAAAGAGAGAGACAGGCCCAAGAGAGTGAAGCCAGGTCTAACCCTGGACCCTCCCCCCCTCCGAATTGCATTTCAGACTACCAGGTATGATGCCCAAGTCCCAAAATACTTTTTTTTTTCAGTGCAAGCAGGGAGAGAAAATGCAGGAATTACCTAAGGCAGGGCTGGAGCGATAGCACAGCGGTAGGGTGTTTGCCTTGCACACCGCTGACCCGGGTTCGATTCCTCCGCCCCTCTCGGAGAGCCCGGCAAGCTCCCGAGAGTATCCCGCCCGCACGGCAGAGCCTGGCAAGCTCCCCGTGGCGTCTCCGAGATGCCAAAAACAGTCACAACAGGTCTCACGATGGAGACGTTACTGGCACCCGCTCGAGCAAATCGATGAACAACTCCCAGGGTTGCTTGGGACACTCAGCAGAGTGACGCCTCAAGTCGCGGGAAGCCCCGACCAGCGGACCCAGGGAAACCGATGCCCAGATATCATTTTCCAGGAATTCCCAACTTTCCTGGACTGGGCAGAGCAGCGCTTTCCCACTTCAGGACTGGCCGGTGCGGCCCAGGCCCAGAGCAGGCCCCTAGGCCGTCCGGTGTGGAGGACGGACGTCTTGAACTCGGACCTAGGCCTGCCCCGGGTTCTAGTCATGCCCTAGATACATCTTAAGCAACCTTGCCCAAGACTCTGAATTTCTCAGCATCCCTTAAACAGGGCTGGGGGCACCCACAGGTAACCGAGTCGGACTGAGAAGGGGAACGTGCATTTCACGCGCCCCATAAATCCAGGCCCTACAAAACAGACTTTCAAAACCTCAGGTTACTTATCTCAGCCTCTGGAAGCCACCAAGTTTCAGCTGGGCCATGTGGGTGGAAGGGCCTGGCGGCCACTTAACCAGACACACAACTCTTCTGTTGCATGAATATTATCATTTGCTTGTTTGGGGGCCCCACCTGGTGATGCTCGGGCTGACTCCCGGCTCTGCACTCAGGAATTACTCCCGGCGGTGCTTGGGGGACCCTAGGGGATGCCGGGGATCGAACCCGGGTCGGCCGGGTGCCAGGCAAACGCCCTCCCTGCTGGACTATCGCTCCATCCGGCCCAAGCTGCTGTATCTTTCTGTTTTGTAATTGATTTGATCTTTGTAATTTTTCTGTCTTTAGCTTTTAATTAACCTTTGGTTGAGGTCAAGTTGGTTTCTAAGAGGGTAACTGATTAATTGCTGTAGGGGTGTAGTTTTTTGGTTTGTTTTGTTTTTTGGGTCACGCCCAGTGATACTCAGGGGTCACTCCTGGCTCTGCACTCAGGGATCACTCCTGGCGGTGCTCGGGGGACCCTAGGGGATGCCGGGGATCGAACCTGGCCGCGTGCCAGGCCAACGCCCTCCCCACTGTGCTATCGCTCCAGCCCCCTTGCCTCTTTTTTATTATTATTATTATTATTTGGCTTTTTGGGTCACACCCGGCGATGCTCAGGGCTGACTCCCGGCTCTGCACTCAGGAATTATTCCTGGTGGTGCTCAGGGGACCCTATGGGATGCTAGGAATCGAACCCAGGTCGGCTGCATGCAAGGCCGGCCCCCTCCCTTCTGTGTTCTGGCACTGACCCCCAGTGTCTGAAATATTCTACAGCCACAGGTGTTTTCTGGGTGCTTCTCTGTTTACCGCTCTGCTCCCAGGGTCAGCACCCCGGAAGTAAATGCTGCACTAAGGCTCCGTGGACTGAGTGGTCTGTGGGGACCCTCGGGGCCTCAGGCAGGGGCCCCCCTGGTAGACACCCAACTTGCGCCCGAAGCGACGTGTCAGGGACCCTGTCCTCAGTCCTGGGTGAAGACGCGTCAGCATTACTGAGCCCAGATTTGAGCGAATCCGGACAGCTTGCGGGGGTGGGGGGTGGGGGTCTCTCGGACTCACTTGTCCCACCCAGAGTCCAACCCAAGCCCCCCTGGGTGCAAACAGACGCCCGGCAGGGACGGGCTGTGGGGACAGAAGCCGCAGGTACAGAGACTTCAAAGGACAGAGCGGAAGGCAGGGCTGGACAGTCCACAGGCGCACACAGGCCCCCGTCAGAGCAGAAGCCCCCCGCCGCCCCCCAAAGAGCACCGCACCCATGCAGGGACCGGGCCCCCCACAGCTGACCTCTGAGACGCACACGCAGCATACGCAGCCCACGCGGGCCCAACCTCCACCTCCCGCCCTCCATCCCCAGCCTGTGACCTGCGGGCCGGCAGCCACATCAGATAGGGCGCCGGCTCTGAGGTCCCCGCCAACAATGCGGGCTCGGACCCGCCCGGGCGCCCCCAGAGACCACACGACCTTTCCCTCCTCCAGAGGCCAGAGAAGGGTGGACAGTGAGTGCTTTGCAGGGCAATTCCCCAGGGTGGCCGCGGTTCTCCCCGGACCCCGTGACCACCCAGCCCCCAACTCACACACATATGCACACACACGCACACACACACACACACGCACACACGCGCACATACACACACGTGCACATAAACGCATGCACACACACATACACACACAAACATGCACACACACACACACACACACACACACACACACATCAGCCTGGCCGGCAGACAGACACTGCCAGGGCAAGGATGGGTGCAGGGGGCCAGGGCGGGGACTGGATTCCAGGGGCCACATCCACGCCAAGTCTCATCTCTGGGATGAGTTTGCTCCCAGGGTCAGCACCCCGGAAGTAAATGCTGCACTAAGGCTCCGTGGACTGAGTGGTCCGTGGGGACCCTCAGCTGCCGGCCGCCAGCTGCCCCTTGGAGCTGGCTGCTGAGAAACGCAAGGGAGGGGCCGGAGCCATAGCACAGCGGGGAGGGCGTTGGCCTGACATGCGGACAACCCGGGTTCGATCCCCGGCATCCCATGGGGTCCCCGAGCCCCGCCAAGAGGGATTCCTGAGTGCAGAGCCGGGAGTCAGCTCTGAGCATCGCCGGGTGGGATCCAAAAAGGAAGGAAGGAAGGAAGGAAAGTAGGAAGGAAGGAAGGAAGGAAAGAAGGAAGGAAGGAAGGAAGGAAGGAAGGAAGGAAGGAAGGAAATGAAACAGAAGAGAGAAGGGGGACAGGTAGGCCCCTTCCTGGGGTGTCAGAGCCCCCTGTCATGTCCGACAGTCGGGGGAGGGAGGTTGTGGGTGGCTCCCCTCCCCTGAAGGACAGGGCTGGGCCTGTCAGTGGTCAGTGATTCCCCTCTCCTCCTGCTGGGAGCTCAGACCCCAGGGGGCACCCCGAGGGGCAAGGTGTGGGTCTGCCTGGAGCTCCCCCCTCAGCCAGCAGCCAGAGGAGACCACTCCCACCCACCACAGCCAGGACAGGCGCTTGGCCCGTGCCCCTCCCCCCCTTGGGCCAGGCGGGAGCTCAGGCTCCCCTTGGACGTCCAGGGCCTCGAGGCCCTCGAGACAGTGGCCGGTGCTGCCTCCTGGCCACCCCTAACGCCCCCTCACTGGCTTCCCGCCACCCAGGCTGCAGCCCTGACCCAGATCCGTGTTTCCTGG